TGTTGTACATATTATTAGTTATAGATATAGACATAGAATAAATTGTTTAATATTGCTAGGGTAATGTAATAATGATGGCTACTAGGGTTGGGGTGCCCTGAGTTCAATCCCAAAATAATATAATTACATCACTATTATTCTAAATACCTTGTTAACTCTTAGGTTATGAAATAGTTAAAACATAATGTGTTCAATTGCCAAATGATTTTATATATTACATATATGTTAAAAACTAAGGATATATAAAGAGTAACTTTTAAAACAATATCTACAGTAGACATTTTCTGCATCTACTAGCTAAACTTAAAAAGGTGCTTCCTTACTAAATTTTTCTAGTGATTTATTAAAGCTGTAAGATGGTTGACACTGCTTGTGGACTATCAGTCCCATGGTTGACACTGCTTGTGGACTATCAGTCCCATGGTTGACACTGCTTGTGGACTATCAGTCCCATGGTTGACACTGCTTGTGGACTATCAGTCCCATGGTTGACACTGCTTGTGGACTATCAGTCCCATGGTTGACACTGCTTGTGGACTATCAGTCCCATGGTTGACACTGCTTGTGGACTATCAGTCCCATGGTTGACACTGCTTGTGGACTATCAGTCCCATGGTTGACACTGCTTGTGGACTATCAGTCCCATGGTTGACACTGCTTGTGGACTATCAGTCCCATGGTTGACACTGCTTGTGGACTATCAGTCCCATGGTTGACACTGCTTGTGGACTATCAGTCCCATGGTTGACACTGCTTGTGGACTATCAGTCCCATGGTTGACAGTAACATGCTAGTTGAAATTCATTCGGATAGGGTTAACATGAAATTTTTTGTTCAAAATTATATTGTCTTTTTGTAAATAGTTTTGGGTTAACATTTGTTTTTTTTATGGTTTTTGATGTATCTTTTCTCTTTTGCAGTATTTATACATATGTTTCGGAATATTAAAGACATGGCTTTTCCTTTTTATCAGTACCTCTCGTGAGTCATAAATAGACAAAACTGTCATATTATCTGCTTCAAACGTTTACTTTACTTGACTTTCCCAATCCACTTACTGATTTTTGATGGGTGCTTCCTTACGTTGTGATTATTTTAACTGACAATGTAATTAACGATACTGGTGGACTATCGGTCCTCCGAGTCGGCTGTAACCCTGTAGTGGGAATTTATTATTTCATGGTTTACTAGTTTACACATGTAATGCCTGTTGTAACCGACGTTTAGGTACCATTCCCTATTTTCCATGTTTCTAATTAAGGTTCTGGAACACTTTGTATACGCATTTCATTTCTTTGACTTCTGATAAGTTGTAAATGACCAAATTATAATATTGTATTGTAAATTCATTACTTCGTTTATCTTTTACTAAAGTTTGAATTATATACTTCCTCCATTTTGCATTATATTTCTGGGTCAATTTTTTTCCCCGGCATATTTCTTTCTACTTTTTTCGGTACAGTTTTTTTGTGTTTGAATTGCATCATATTTATATGTCTCCAGTCAACTTCGTCCTTTTTGCTGTGGTGTTTTTTTGGTTTATAACTTATCACAATTTAAAATCAATTGACGCAGAATGTTGCAGTGTTTATTTAATTGTGTCTGATACTGTTGTTGTATTTAACTATTGATCTTAAATGGCGCTTCTTTGTATAATTATGTTTGTTGGCCTACTTTTTTATGCTAGTATGATTTTAGTAGAACAATCATTAATGTGCAAACAGATCTCGTAACAAAATCGGAAGTTTTCTTATTTACTACTGACCTATTCCAAATCTTGCTTAAAAAATAGTCTGAAAACAGGCTAGCAAAAAGGGTTTCTGATATCAAGTTGCCAAAATACTGGTCCACTTTTTCCGTCTAAGCACATTTATGGTTTCGCTCTTTTTATTTTTATATTTACAACATTCAGATAATATTCCTCATATGTGAATGAATGTTCTCTGTTGGTATGTCTTTTCAGTTTTAATAACTGTATTCTTCCGGGAATTCGAGGTGAATATCTGCCATACACATTTTGATTACCTGTTTTGCCATATCTCATAAAAGAATTTAACGTATTATATCATTACTATTACGTATAGCTAATAAGGTCAACGGTGATTTGAACATCAGCTCAGTGCTGTTTCTCTGGTATGATCGATCTATCTGACCATGTTTGTTTTACATGGTTTCTTGTCACTTAGCCTGTTAACATGTAGGTATTGATAGAAAGGACATGATGACACGCCCCCGGTCATTCGTTACGCGATGTTACTGACTATTCGATTTTGTTCGTGCTTATCGGCATTAGAGTAGTGAATTTTAATTCTTTTTTATTTTTTTGTTCAAAATATTTTTCTAAATCTAAACTATTCCTGAAGCACAAATGGTTTAATAGTTAAAATAGTTATTTGATTACACATTTCTATTTCTAAAATCAATTAAACAATTGATATAAGAAAAGACAAAAATGGTTACCAGAGACAGCTTTCCCGATCTATAATGAGTTTACAAAAAAGAGAAATATGTTCATTTTACTGAAAATATTTGTATCTATCCTTGGATAAACTTTCGGTAATATATGTCTAACAAACCTCGACAATGAAAGATTGTTTTCAGTTTAAAAAAAAAACTTTGAATAAAAATGACAATAGCTAAATAGAACCGTATCATTAACGACAAAGTAATCAATCGGATTAAAAAAATATTGCTCTTCAGATCGGTATTTGTTTTAATATATCATCTCCCTTGTTCAAATGCAAACACAATAAAAAGTGTGAAAACGAAAAAAGCGCTTGGACGGAGGATTAAAACTTTGGCACCCTGAAACCATTTTTCTAGTCTAGTTTCAGCCTACCTATCATACCCGTCCTGGGCAAGGTCAGAACTAATTAAAACAAAACAATCGATTTTGTTAAAAGATCTGTATACACGATAGTTTAATAGGTGATTGTTAAAATCATACCAACATAAGAAGTGAGTCAACAAAAACAACTATACAATGAACCGCCAAAACACTTGCCCAATGAGAGGTCTGATCGATACATTAATATAACAACAGTATCAGACACAATAAATAAACTGAACTCACCTCAACAGTCTGGGCCAACTGCTTATCAATTGTGTCGAGTTATAAACGAAACAGTACCATAGAAAATAAGGACGAAATTGACCTGAGATATCTAAATGGATGTATTGCAAAATAAAAGAGGACTCCACAATTCTCTGGCTTCAATATAGATTACAAAACACAATCTATTTATAACCACTAACTAGTACCTGGAAGCAATAGGATATACAACTGTATGTAAAAACAATCAATGTAAAGCATGTAAAAATAAGACAAAGGGACAGTCAATATATAATCAGGTAATGCACAAACAGCAAAAACTTTTAAACGATAGGAAAAATTGGTATGACTACTAGTTAAAGGCTTTTTTTAATAGCATATCCAAATTAGGTTCCACAAAATAGCATTATACTTCACGCGAAACGCCACACATGCACTCTAGAAAATGTAAAAAGAAATATGCTGATTTTTTTTTAGACCCAAAATGTAATGCTAATTTAATACCAACTGAAATACCTTATCACATATATATATATATTTTTATGTAAAATGAAATAGCTGTTTTAAAAAAACATTTAATCTGTAAATACACAAAATCATACCAAAATGAATCCATAATAAATCCCTGCTACAGGGTTACGGCAAACCCGGATAGTCAACCAGTAGTGATTTAAGATAATCACTAGAGAAACGGAGTAAGGAAACACATATTAAAAACATGTTACTGGATGGATAAAGACAAACAAAGCAACCTATTATTTGTCTTTTCTTATCGATGTAATCCCTAAAGAGATCATTGAGGTTTCTGACTTCAGTCTTGTATTATACGTAAATGGAAACCTACTGACCTAGTTTACAGTGTATGTGTGTTAATGTAACAATTTATGTGGTGTGCTATGTAATGAGTCGGTTGTGTCTGGTTTAGATGTTGTCTGAAAACTACTATGTCCCGTACCAACGAGAAAAATCCGATTATAAGACATTTAAACTTTTATCTATTTTCCTTTTTATAATATTTACTTCGTTATTATTAGTTTTTCAAATACATGTATCTATAAATATAATATCATAACACAATTGATGATAATACATACTGGCTTTTTCATTACCTAAGAATGAACAAGGTATTCTGATTAATAGTGAGGTAGCCATATTGTTTTGGGGTTGATCTCAGTGCATCAAACCCCTAGTAGCCATCATTATTACATTATCCTAGCAATATTGAACAATGTATTCTATGTCTTTATCTATAACTAATAATATGTACAACATTGTGTTCATAACATTGAAGTTATTTTTATATCATTTGCCAAATCTGAAATCATCCAAACAAGAGTTTACCTGTCATAAGGATTTAAACTCAAACTTTTCTATAGCTATCGCTATTTTCTGATCAGTGTATCTTATAATTCTACTTCATGTGATTAAATGTCGGTAAATCTGTTAATGTGTAGGTAGTTGATGAAAGTATGGAACTGTTAAACGCCCCTGGTGCTTCGTCATGTTACCTTACATACGGCACGTGGTAGGGACCAGAGGAACAGGAAGTCACGGTACAGGAGGATGGGAGCTATATAAGGGCCAGAACCAAAGGTGATCATCACACAAGCTGGTAAGTTCTCCTATCGATACTTTGCTTAGCAATAACAATTAGGAAATTAATACATGCTTTGAATTCTTTTTAACGTAAACCAACAATTTAAACAGAATAACTTGATGTATATATCTTTCATTTTAAGTATTTTGTTTAGTATTTTTAAATAATTTTAATACCTTTATTAATATTATTCTCGTTTACACTTAACTGTTGTGTATATCTAACTGGTATTTGCTTGGCTTATAGTCACCATGAAGTCGTCATCTACCGCTCTTATTACGATATGTCTCTGCCTCGGCGTGTCATGCGCACTGGGAGCCGGATATGGTTCCGGTTACAAGGGGGATGATACCTATGGAAGCATAGGGGGCGGTTACACCATGGGCTACGGAGGCGACTATGGAAGGGGGTACGGAAGCGGATACGGTAGTGCATACGGAAGCGGTTACGGTAGTGGATACGGAAGCGGATACGGACACTCAAAGGTACACGGAAAGGGCTACGTCTCCACCGAGACCGTTATTAGACAACCGTATATCCAGCCTATGGCCCTCCCACCACCACCACCCCAGGCCGGCAACGACGGACTTTTAGGACTCGGAGGAGGATCTGGACTTCTTTGTAAGTTTTGTTTATTTGCTCTAACTTTTATATGTGAAATTAATGTTATCATTTCGTTGAAGTATATTTCCTATGCTGTTTTAATGAAGTAATACCCCTTTCTGACATTTCTTTGTAAAATTGTTCCTCATCTTATGTCTTTACAACTTATCCACTGTGATGTAGGCAATATCGTCCAATTCTGTATTCCATGTCAGCGATGTATTTCAGATCTGTTGACACTGTGACGTCATTTACTCCTTATACTGCCTTATTTTTGCAGCTTTTCTTTCATCGATAAGAGTTTACCGTCAATATGATATGTTTTAGATGTATGTCGTATAATTGTCCTATAACGTATATTGCTTCATTTCCAGTGCTCGGTCTGCCCCTCCTCCTTCTGTTGAGGAACTCTAACTCCGGTTAACTTCTGACGCTGACACTCATTACATTAGAAGCAACTCTGTGATGTAAGTATATCACTCTCTATTAGGTCAATGGCAGCCTACTATTTCATTATTGTGTAGGACTGATCCAATGTTTACTATATCAATCTGTAAGATTATTTTCGCCCTTAATAAGCTCAAAATGTTTTTTGTAAGGATATATCCAAGATGCTCTAAATATTTTTGGTTTTTGTATTCATGTTTTCTTAATTTTGTTTTCCTCTCTTTTCAGACATCGCGCAATATTGGCAGTTGACAGTTGGTCTGTGTGTTATTTATTTGTATGCTTGTGCTGTTTTTACGCTGATTAAAATTGAAAAGAAACAATTGCAATCTTCTTTATTATTTTAAGAAGTGGTTTTGTTGATTTGATGACATACGTTTTAGATAAGTAAGAAAAGGCATATGAATTAATGTTCGTTGAAACCATACTATAAACTTTTATTTCAATTCAAAGTCTTTTGAATTGTTTCCAGACGACTCGTCAATTCTGCTTAAAAGATGGATTCTTTTTTACAATTTAACAATCACATCAGAAACCAGATACGATTGTATTGTAATTTTTTAGTATGAATATAGATTCCCGTTTATCTTATTGAAGTAGATATATTTACGACGTGACAAGGTAAACCGATTCTTTCATATACTTTTGTAATAGGTAGCACTACTTATTGACAAATTTTTTACTACCAATTGACTAGACGCACACTCTCACAATCAAACAATATGTGTTTTATTACCAATTGACTAGACGCACACTCTCACAATCAAACAATATGTGATTGTATTACCAATTGACTAGACACACACTCACAATCAAATGGAAGGAGATTATACTATCAATTGACTAGAAACACACTCACAATCAAACAATAGGTGATTATACTACCATTCATTAGACACACACTCTCACAATCAAACATGAGGTGATTTTATTACCAATTGACTAGACACACACTCTCACAATCAAACAATATGTGATTTTACTACCAATTGACAAGACACACACTCTCACAATCAACAAATAGGTGATTATATTATCAATTATCTAGACACACATTCTCACAATCAAACAATAGTTAATTATACTATCAATTGATTAGACACACACTCTCACAATCAAACAATATGTGATTTTACTATTAATTGACTAGACACACACTCTCACAATCAAGCAATAGGTTATTATACTATCAATTGACTAGACACACACACTCACAATCAAACAATATGTTATTATCCTATCAATTAATTAGACACACACTCTCACAAACAAACAATATGTGATTTTATTATCAATTGACTAGACACACCCTCACAATCAAACAATATGTTATTATCCTATCAATTAATTAGACACACACTCTCACAATCAAACAATACGTGATTATACTCACAATTTACTAGAAACATCCTCAAATTCAAACAATATGTGATTTTAATATCAATTGACTAGACAAACACTCAAAATCAAACAATAGGTGATTTTATTACCAATTTACTAGACACACACTCTCACAAACAAACAATATGTGATTTTACTACCAATTGACAAGACACACACTCACAATCAAAATACTTTTGTAATAGGTAGCACTACTTATTGACAAATTTTTTACTACCAATTGACTAGACGCACACTCTCACAATCAAACAAAAGAAAATTATACTAACAATTGTCTAGACACACACTCTCAATCAAACAATATGTGATTATACTCACAATTTACTAGACACATCCTCAAATTCAAACAATATGTGATTTTTCTATTAATTGACTAGACACACAATCTCACAATCAAGCAATAGGCTATTATACTATCAATTGACTGACACACACACTCACAATCAAAATACTTTTGTAATAGGTAGCACTACTTATTGACAAATTTTTTACTACCAATTGACTAGACGCACACTCTCACAATCAAACAAAAGAAAATTATACTAACAATTGACTAGAAACACACTCTCACAATCAAACAATATGTTATTATCCTATCAATTAATTAGACACACACTCTCACAATCAAACAAAAGAAAATTATACTAACAATTGTCTAGACACACACTCTCAATCAAACAAGATGTGATTATCCTATCAATTGATTAGACACACACTCTCACAAACAAACAATATGTGATTTTATTATCAATTGACTAGACACACATCCTCACAATCAAACAAAAGGTGATTATTCTACCAATTGACTAGATACACACTCTCACAATCAAACAATAGTTGATTATACTACCAATTGACAAGACACACACTCACAATCAAACAATATGTGATTTTATTATCAATTGACTAGACACACATCCTCACAATCAAACAATAGGTGATTATTCTACCAATTGACTAGACACACACTCTCACAATCAAACAATAGGTGATTATACTATCAATTGACTAGACACACACTCTCACAATCAAACAATATGTGATTATACTCACAATTTACTAGACACATCCTCAAATTCAAACAATATGTGATTTTATTATCAATTGACTAGACGCACATTCTCACAATTAAACAATAAGTGATTTTACTACCAATTAACTAGACGCACACTCTCAAAATCAAACAATATGTGATTTTATTACCAATTGACTAGACGCACACTCTCATAATCAAACAATATGTGATTTTACTACCAATTGACTAGACACACACTCAAAATCAAACGGAAGGAGATTTTACTATCAATTGACAAGACACACACTCTCAAAATCAAACAATATGCGATTTTACTACCAACTGACTAGACACACACTCTCACAATCAAACAATATGTGTTTTTATTACCAATTGACTAGACGCACACTCTCACAATCAAACAAAAGAAAATTATACTAACAATAGACTAGACACACACTCACAATCAAACAATAGGTGATTATACTATCAATTGACTAGACACACACACTCACAATCAAACAATATGTGATTTTACTATCAATTGACTAGACAAACACTCACAATCAAACAATAGGTGATTTTACTACCAATTTACTAGACACACACTCTCACAATCAAACAATAGGTGATTATTCTACCAATTGACTAGACACACACTCTCACAATCAAACAAAAGAAAATTATACTAACAATTGACTAGACACACACTCACAATCAAACAATATGTGATTATCCTATCAATTGATTAGACACACACTCTCACAATCAAACAATAGGTGATTATACTACCAATTGACTAGAAACAAGCTCTCACAATCAAATAATAGGTGATTATACTATCAATTGACTAGACACACACTCTTACAATCAAACAGTATGTGATTATACTACCAATTAACTAGACACACTCTCACAATAAAACAATAGGTTATTATACTAACAATTGAGTAGACACACACCCTCCATTCCAAAAATATGTGATTTTAATACCAATTGACTAGACACACACTCTCACAATCAAACAATAGATGATTATACTTACAATTGACTAGACACACACTCTCACAATCAAACAATAGGAGATTATACTACCAATTAACTAGACACACACTCTCACAATCAAACAATAGTTAATTATACTTTGAATTGACTAGACACACACTGTCACAATCAAACAATAGGTGATTATACTATCAATTGACTAGACTCACACTCTCACAATCATACAATAAGTGATTTTACTACCAATTAACTAGACACACACTCTCACAATCAAACAATATATGATTATACTAACAATTGACTAGACACACATTCTCACAATCAAACAATAGTTAATTATACTAACAATTGACTAGAAACACACTCTCACAATCAAACAATAGGTGATTTTACCACCAATTGACAAAAGACACACTCTCACAAGCAAACAATAGGTAATTATACTAACAATTGACTAGACACACATTCTCACAATCAAACAATAGTTAATTATACTACCAATTGACAAGACACACACTCACAATCAAACAATAGGTGATTATATTATCAATTGACTAGACACACATCCTCACAATCAAACAATAGTTAATTATACTATCAATTGTCTAGTCACACACTCTCACAATCAAACAATAGGTGATTATACTATCAATTGACTAGACACACATTCTCACAATCAAACAATAGTTAATTATACTATCAATTGACTAGACACACACTCTCACAATCAAACAATAGCTGATTATTCTATCAATTGACTAGACACACACTCTCACGATCAAACTTCATGATTTGATAATGATGTAACAAAATACACACTCTATTTTTCCCTTTTATCGTAAAATAATAGGAAGAAATAAAACACTAAAATGAAAAGTTATTCTTTAAAAGAAGGAATCAAAGCAAAATAAAATGGTACCGCATTATATGGTAAATACGTCCATTTAGGTTTATCGAAGGTACGAAATGTCAGAAGGATATAAAAAGTAATACCAAATTAATTCAGTATATATACAAAGTCAAAACCAACATTATTTCAGTTTATATACAAAGTCATATCAACCTTAATCCAGTATCTATACCAAGTCATAACAACATTAATTCAGTTTATATACAAAGTCATACGAACATTAATTCAGTATATATACAAAGTCATATCAACATTAATTCAGTGTATATACAGAATCATACCAACATTATTTCAGTATATATACAAAGTCATACGAACATTAATTCAGTATATATAAAAAGTCATACCAAATTAATTCAGTATTTATATACAAAGTCATACCAAATTAATTCAGTATATATACAAAGTCATACCAAACTAATTCAGTATATATGCAAAGTCACACCAGCATTATTCAATATATATACAAAGTCATATCAAATTAATCAATAAACGAAGTAAGGAAGTACATTTTTTAAACGTAAGTAAGTCCATTCATAAAGCTAAAAAACAAAAACGTAATTATGACAAAAATTAAAAAGTTCCTATAAAACACTTTTAATATTGCACAACGTTGGCTTTAACAGACAATAGACTTGTAAACAAGTAAATTGTGCAATAATAAATACCTTCTACAGGGTTACGGTAAACCCGGATAGTCCACCAGGTAGTGATTTAAGATAATCATTTAAAAAACGAAGCAAGGAAACACATATTAAAAACATGTTACTGGATGCAGAAATCCAAACAAAGCCAACTATTAATTGCACAAAATTGTCTTTTCTTATCGGTTTAATCCCTGTAGAGATCATTGAGGTTCTGACTGAAGTCTTGTATTATATGTAAATGGAAACCTACTGACCTAGTTTATAGAGTATGTGTGCTAATGTAACAATTTATGTGGTGTACTATGTAATGAGTCGGTTGTGTCTGGTTTAGATTTTGTCTGAAAACTTACTATGTCCCGTACAAACGAGAAACATCCGATTATAAGTCATTTAAACTTTTATCTATTTTCCTTTTTAAAATATTTATTTCGTTATTATTAGTTTTTCATATACATGTATCTATAAATATAATATTATAAGACCATTGATGACAATACATTCTGGCTTTATCATTACATGAACAAGGTATTCTGAATAATAGTGAGGTAGCCATATTGTTTTGGGGTTGATCTTAGTGCATCAAACCCCTAGCAGCCATCATTATTACATTATCCTAGCAATATTGAAAACATGTATTCTATGTCTATATCTATAACTTATAATATGTACAACATTGTGTTCATAACATTGAAGTTATTTTTATATCATTTGCCAAATTTGTCATCATCCAAACAAGAGTTTACCTAACATAAGGATTTAAACTCAAACTTTTTTATAGCTGTCGCTATTTTCTGATCAGTGTATCTTATTATTTTACTTCATGTGATTAAATGTCGGTAAATCTGTTAATGTGTTGGTAATTGATGAAAGTCTGGAACTGTTAAACGCCCCTGGTGCTTCGTCATGTTACCTTACAAACGGCACGTGGTAGGGACCAGAGGAACAGGAAGTCACGGTACAGGAGAACGGGAGCTATTTAAGGGCCAGAACCAAAGGTGATCATCACACAAGCTGGTAAGTTCTCCTATCGATACTTTGCTTAGCAATAACAATTAGGAAATTAATACATGCTTTGAATTCTTTTTAACGTAAACCAACAATTTAAACAGAATAACTTGATGTATATATCTTTCATTTTAAGTATTTTGTTTAGTATTTTTAAATAATTTTGATACCTTTATTAATATTATTCTCGTTTTCACTTAACCGTTGTGTATATCTAACCATAGATATTTTTTTTTACTTATTCAGTAAAAGGTTGATCAAGTCTTTTTAATTTTATTTAGTCTTCATGGTGCTATGAAATGTGTTCTTCATATATACAAGCATTTATATACTTGGCGTCTCAATTTCACTGTTGTGTATATCTAACTGGTATTTGCTTGTCTTATAGTCACCATGAAGTCGTCATCTACCGCTCTTATTGCGATATGTCTCTGTCTCGGCGTGTCATGCGCACTGGGAGCCGGATATGGTTCCGGTTACAACAGCTATGATACCTATGGAAGCGTAGGGGGCGGTTACACCATGGGTTACGGAGGCGACTATGGAAGTGGGTACGGAAGCGGATACGGTAGTGGATACGGAAGCGGTTACGGTAGTGGATACGGAAGCGGATACGGACACTCAAAGGGACACGGAAAGGGCTACGTCTCCACCGAGACCGTTATTAGACAACCGTATATCCAGCCTATGGCCCTCCCACCACCACCACCCCAGGCCGGCAACGACGGACTTTTAGGACTCGGAGGAGGATCTGGACTTCTTTGTAAGTTTTTTATTTGCTCTAAATTATATATGTGAAATTAACGTTATCATTTAGTTGAAGTATATTTTCTATGCTGTTTTAATGAAGTAATACCCCTTTCTGACATTTCTTTGTAAAATTGTTCCTCATCTTATGTGTTTACAACTTATCCATTGTGGTGTAGGCAATATCGTCCAATTCTGTATTCCATGTCAGCCATGTATTTCAGATCTGTTGACACTGTGACGTCATTTACTCCTTATACTGCCTTATTTTTGCAGCTTTTCTTTCATCGATAAGAGATAACCGTGAATATGATATGTGTTAGATATATGTCGTATAATTGTCCTATAACGTATATTGCTTCATTTCCAGTGCTCGGTCTGCCCCTCCTCCTTCTGTTGAGGAACTCTAACTCCGGTTAAACTTCTGACGCTGACACTCATTACATTAGAAGCAACTCTGTGATGTAAGTATGTCACTCTCTATTAGGTCAATGACAGCCTACTATTTCATTACTGTGTAGGACTGATCCAATGTTTACTATATCAATCTGAAATATTATTTTCGCCCTTAATAAGCTCAAAATGTTTTTTGTAAGGATATATCCAAGATGCTCTAAATAATCCACATCAAAATAATTTTGGTTTTTGCATTCATGTTTTCTGAATTGTGTTTTCCTCTCTTTTCAGACATCGCGCAATATTGGCAGTTGACAGTTGGTCTGTGTGTTATTTATTTGTATGCTTGTGCTGTTTTTACGTTGATTAAAATTGAAAAGAAACAATTGCAATCTTCTTTATTTTTTTAAGAAGTGGTTTTGTTGATTTGATAACATACGTTTTAGGTAAGTAAGAAAAGGCGTATGAATTAATGTTCGTTGAAACCATACTATAAACTTTTATTTCAATTCAAAGTCTTTTGAATTGTTTCAAGACGACTCGTCAATTCTGCTAAAAAGATGGATTTTTTTTTACAATTTAACAATCACATTAGAAATTTTTTGGTATGAATATAGATTCCCGTTTATCTTATTGAAGTAGGTATATTTATGACATGACAAGGTAAACCGATTCTTTCATATACTTTTGTGATAGGTAGCACTACTTATTGACAAATTTTCTCACAATCAAACAATATGTGATCATACTAACAATTGACTAGACACACACTTACAAAAAACAATATTTGATTTTACTACCAATTGACTAGACGCACACTCTCACAATCAAACGGAAGGAGATAATACTATGAATTGACTAGACACACACTTACAAAAAACAATATTTGATTTTACTACCAATTGACTAGACAAACACTCACAATCAAACGGAAGGAGATTATACTATCAATTAAATAGACACACACTCTCACAATCAAAGAATCGGTATTATATTACCAATTAACGAGAAACACACTCACAATCAAACAATATGTGATTATACTACCAATTGACAAGACACACTCTCTCATAATCAAACAATAGGTATTATACTACCAATTCACGAGACACACACTCACAATCAAACAATATTTGATTTTACTACCAATTGACTAGACGCACACTCTCACAATCAAACAATATGTGATTGTATTACCAATTGACTAGACACACACTCACAATCGCCCACTCTCACAATCAAACAATATGTGATTATAATACCAAATAACTAGACACACACTCTCACAATCAAACAATAGGTGATTATACTAACAATATAATAGACACACACTCTCACAATCAAACAATCGGTATTATACTAC